AAGAAGAACAAAATCGTGGCCTTTGCAGTAACTTGGATGCAGTTGAAGACCATCATACTAAGTGAACTTTCACAGCAACAAAGAACTGAATATTTCATGTTCTCACTCATAAGTGGGCCCTGAATACTAGTCGCATTGGAAAAGGTTAAGATTGGAAGTCACTGAGCACTGTTAGGGGAAGGAGGGGGGAGGGAGAGGAGCCTGTGACAACACAATGGGTACCTGGTCCACTACAAGGAGAAGTGAGGGACAGCCAGAAGCCCAAATCCTCACTTATGTCGCAAATCCTCACTTGTAACCCACAACTCTAAAAAAGTTATATATAATGTACTCACAGTAAAAGCAATTAATACCCAGAGCCCAAAATGTAGAAGAAAGGTGATATTAGTTTTTAAAGTGGTATTTTTTAGATATAGAATGTGGTCAATTAAATGTTAATTTCTGACTTACCACAAACGAGAATTTCTGACTTACTACATATGATAATTCCAAAAACCAGAATTATTTTTTGGAAGGTTTCTTATAATACAACAAGACTTCCCCCACGAAGTAAGTGATTGGCATCAATATACCAGCTAGCATTGCTGCAAGAGGCTGCATTCAACTTCAGTGAACTTTTGGTGAGAGATTTGTTCAATGTATTTGCCCATTTCATGGTGGGTGATTTACAAGTACACCTGCCTACACTGAGCTGAACATTCAGCAGTCTTTGACCAAAAACTACATGTCTCCCATACCCCACCGTCCCTATTCACCAGATCTTGCCCCGAGCCACTATTTTTTATTTCCCCGGATGAAAAAAGTTCTCAAGGGCAAATGTTCTGCCAATGTGGAAGAGGTGAAACGAAAAACAGCAGAAGCACTAAAAGTCATCAAAATTGTCAAGTTCAAAAAAACTATTCTAAGCAGAACAAGTGTCTCAATATGTGTACTGCATCAAAAGGAGAGTACTTCAAAGGTGACTGAAGTTTAAACATGTAAGAATAAATACACAAATTTTTATAAATAAATTCCACTTTGGGAGGAGTCCCCCCCCATTCTCTTATAAAATAAGCATTTTGAAGAGAAAAAAGTCTTATCCTAAAGTATCATGCTAATATCTCATTATGCCTAGAAAGATTAACTTAAAATTTGGTGCCCAAAGATGATAGGCTCTCTTCCCTTCCCTTCCATTCCAAAAATAGCCTTGCTGTGTCCTGGAGTTCTGAGCTTCTGCTGGCAATTGGGCACAAGCAAAAACGCAGACACAGAGGAATCTCTCGACTATCCTCAAAATACTGGGGAATATAAAACTGTTTTTGACTGACACCATTACTCCAAAATGACAATATTACTACCACCTATATGACAAAATGATGTGACAAAAAGCAATATCCCTTTCTCAAATACTAGTATATTGAGAAACTGATGTTTTCAGCATTTAGCACACCGTAGAAATTCAATGAATATAAGCGCTATTAAAAATTAAAGAATGTCATGATGAAAACTTGCCATGAAAAAAATTAAAAATTAAAAATTAAAGGATTGAGCTCTACAGAAATAATCTAGCAACAGCATGCTTTAATATTCTTAAGTTTTTCGATCAATAAAAATTTACATCACACACCTCCAAAAGTCATACTAGATATTAAATATTAACAAAATTTGTTTTCTTTTCTTTAGATAAGAAATAATAGATAATCTAATTTTTCTTACCATACTCAACAGGCTGGTCTTGCACACCCCACTCTGGAGACAATTGCTATAGAAAACAACTACAAAATGATGGCTATTTACTGCATAAAGGACAGAGAATTAAAGAGGGCAGCAGTACTGCTGAGCAATTATTCACATTTTGTGAATGAGAAGCGAGACTCAGGAAAGTGACTATGGAAGTTTCTCCATGTTCTACCCCAGCCCTGGCAGCTCAATTTAGGCACATTTCCAGGGTGTAAGCGGTACAGAGATTTCCATATCACCATGTGATACCTTTTCCCCCGGAACAGGAATAAAATAAGGAAGAGAGTTAGGTATGGCCAAGCTGATGGTTACAATTAAGAAGCAATAGTATGAAAAGGAAGAACAAGGCTAGATGATTCCCGCATCCTGATTTTTAAAACTTACTGCAAAGCTACAGTAATCAAAACAGTATGGCACTGACATAAAGAAAGACGTAAATGAATGCAACAGAATAGAAAGCCCCCAAATAAACCCTCACATACACAGTCAAATGATCTAAGACAAAGGTACCAAGAACATTCGTTTGGGAAATGACAGTCTTTTCAACAAATGGTGCTGGAAAAATAGATATCCTCACACAAGAGAATGAAGATAGATCTTAACTAATGCCATATATGAAAATTAACTCAAAATGAATAAAAGACCTAAATGTGAGATCTATAACAATAAAACTCATAGAAGAAAACAGGTCGAAAGCCTCACAACATTGGATTTGGCTATGATTTCTTGGCTATAACACCAAAGGCACAGGCAACAAAAGAAAAGACGACCAAATTAGACTTCATGAAAAATTTTTTAAGTTGTTCATCAAAAAATAACAAAGGAGTTAAAATGAAACCCACAGAATGTGAGAACATAATTGCAAATCATATTTCTGATAAGGGGTTAATATCCAGTATATATAAGAACTCCTAAATTTCCACAAAAATAAAATTAAAAAACTGATTCAAAAATGGACAATGAACTTTGCTATGATTTGAATGCCTGTCCCCTCTGAAACTCATGTTGAAATTTAATTGCCATTGTAATAATATTAAGAAGCAAATAGGTAATGAGGGCTCCACCCACATGAATGGATTAATGCCGTGATTGTGGGAGCATGTTGTTATCAAGCAAGCCTGGCCCCTTTTGGTTTCTCTTATCACATGCACACGCTTGCCCTCGTGCCTTCCACCATGGGATAATACAGCAAAGTCACCAGATGCCAGCACCATGCTCCTGGACTTTCCCAGCCTCCAGAACAGTGAGAAATACATTTCTTTTCTTTATAAATACCTCTTCTCAGATAATTGTCATTGCAGCAGAAAATGGACAAAGACAGTGGCTGTGCCATTTTACCTCCCCACCAACAGTGCACAGGATTCCAATTTCTCCACATCCTTCCCAAAACTTGTCATTTCCTGTTTTTTTGATAGTAGCCATCCTAATGTACATGAAATGCATTTCACTGTAGTTTATTACTTAATGGGTACAGAGTTTCAGATCTGCAAGATGAAAAAGTTCTGGACATTGGCTGCATAACAATGTGAACATACTTAGTACTATTGAACTGTACTCTGAAACATGGCTACAACAGAAGCAGGACACAGTGGCATTTGCCTGTAGTCCCAGCTACACAAGAGGATGAGGCAGGAGGACTGCTTTAGACCAGGAGTTCAAGAATGTAGTAAGCTATGGTCGTGCCTGTGAATAGCTACTGCACTCTAGCCTGGGTAACATGGCAAGACCCCATCTCATAACTTTTTTCATTAAAAAGGGTTACAATGGTAACTTTTATGTGTATTTTACCCAAAGATGTCATAAGATAAACTAAGACTGTGACAAAAAAGAGAATAAATTCATAAGACATTGAGATGGTATAACTAATGAGGTTTACTGACCAGTATGAACTGGAAAGTTGAAGAAGAGAAGCTGAGGATAACCTTAAGGTTTCCAACTCATAAAATGATATTACACTGATCAGTCTACAATATGAACATCTTACTGAATAATAAAATTCATTCATTCACTCATGCTTACATTGAAAATCTTTTTTTTTTTTCCTTTCCGAGCTACTGCTATGTGCCAAGCACTAACTGGAAATGCAGAATGAAGATTAAAAGGGATGAATTACTGCTCTAGGGTACCAACAATCTAATGGAAGTGTGCTACAATAACAAGCAGGTATGTGACATGACACAATGTATGATGAATAATATGATGACATGACAGCACTTCTCCTTTGAAAGAAAAGTAAACCCAGAGGTGAGGGCATCAGTGAAGTGATAATTGAGTGCACCTTGTATGAAGTAAGGAAGCACATGCTACAACTTTTTTATCAATAAAATGGGAAATTTTTAGTCTATACTCTCATTTATTTATGTAATGAATCAGTTTAAAATAGAACATTTGTCAGGAATATGGAAAATATAACTTTGAATACTAAAATGCAATCACACTGCACATTTACCTTGTATTCAAGTATTCCTTACTGCTAAGCAATTACTAATTTCTAGCACTATATATTTTATTTTTAATTTTAGATTTTAAAAAACCACAAACAATTCAGAGGTATATGTATGGGGGGCATTGGAATTGGATTTATAAATACTTTATAAATTCTAAAACTATCAAAAAAACAGAAAATAACAAGTTTTTTGTCCTAAGAAAACAGAATAGAATAGAAAGTGTACTACAATTTTTTTTAGTCAATCCCCTTAATTTACATGGCAGGAAACTGAATCCAAGCAACGTAAAAAGAACTGAATACAGTCACAGAAAGAATTACGATCACAACAAGGCACAGAGCCCAAGTCTTTGCACTGCTAGGTCACTCATTGCTCTTCCTACTACAATAACTATAAGATCGTGGACACGTTATCAGTTTTCTCTTAGTCTAAATTACCAATCAAAAACTACAAACCCAGAAGAGTATATCCCAAATAATCACACCAGTGATATGAACAAATGAGCACATCTCAAATACATAACTACACTATATAGTAGCATAAATTACTATTATAAAGTCCAGGCACATGCATAAGATTTTGTTCTTGACTTTTAAAAAATATGCATTTACTGAATAATAGTGCCAACCTGGATTCTGCAATCCTACATAAATCACTGTCTGTTGTGGCTAAGCTGTAATGTTAACCAACCAATTTAAAACCATTACCAGCACAGAAACATGTATTTAGAGATTTTGTGCCAACTAAGAAACCACACAGCTTTTCAGTCATGTACACAGGATACCCTATATGGAATGCTAAATACTCAAAACCACAGTGGTTTTGGGGGGTTACCTTTCTTGATTGCTCAGTTTGGGAAACATGGCTTGCACCAATTCCGGGCTTTTCAGAAAGTGGTCTGTAATAATCAAGAACCTAAGGAAAAAAGGGGGGAAGTTTAGTTACTAGAAACATAGTAAAAGACATATAAACTTACCTGCTTTACAGGCATATCTTAGACATAAAAGCATTTCTTTTTAATGAATTTTTTAATTGCTTATAAATGTTCTAGGAGGTTCACATAGTATTATTATTCTACTAGCAGCTAAAAGGGAAAAAAGCAAAGTATTTTTCTCCAACTTTACTTCTGAAAAGTTTATTTAAATAATATAAATTTATTCAACTGGAAGAAAGGGCCTACTATAGCTATAGATGAAAAGGAAAACTTCTTCACTATAGCCTAAACAGCAAAATGAAATTTAGCAACAAATTCAAGTATAAACAGAAAAATAATATTAAATGATTTACTCAGAAGCTTAGTGCTATGATTAACCAGAGAGATGGACATGTCCTACTTTCATTTAAACATATGCCAACACCACAGTGATGAATACTGGCTTGATTATCCACTTTTCAAGAGATCTCAAGTTACCACGAAAACATTCTCATTGTCAAACAATGCATTCATCTAAACTTAGAGATCAACTATGGAGACCTCAAGGCAAAGATTATAGGCATATTTCTTCAAAGTATCCCTGTGACAACTAAAAAGATTGAATAGTATTATTAATTAATTCTGAATTATATTTGCCAGAGGGCATCTGAGGGAAAGATTTAAGAACTAAGAAATACACTGTATATAACCAGGTTATAGTAATAAGCCTTGACTGTAAGCATTAAATATATTGACATACAGTTTAGTTAATCACTTGTTAACAAATAAAATAATACAATAAAATTATATCTTTCAGTATGATAAACAAATGAAGCATATTCACTACCATAATATATTGTCACTTCATATAAAAGTAGAATCTAAATACATATTCTATTTCTTCTATAGCACTTTTTAAAATTATAGATTTAGGGGGTACAAGTGCAGTTTTAGTTCATGGATACATTGCCTAGGGATGCAGTCAGGGCTTTGGTGCAGCCATCACCTGTATGGTGTACACTGTACTCATTAAGTAGTTTCTCATCCTTCACCCCATCTCACCCCCCTACCCTTCTCAGTCTTCAATGTCTATTATTGCATTCTCTATGTCCATGTGTACATATGATTCAGCTCCCACTTATATAAATGAGAACATGTGGTATTTGACTTTCTGGGTTATTTCAATAATATAATGGCCTCATACCTTGAAAACCCAAGAGAATCTGTCAAAAACCTCCTTGTACTGATAAAGGACTTTGGCAGTCTCAGGGTATAAAACCAATGTGCAAAAGACAGTTGCATTTCTATATATCAGTAACAAACAAATAGGAATCCAAATAAAAGCACAATCCCATTCACAACAGCCAGGAAAAAAACCAAATACTTTGGCATCTTTCTAACCAGAGATGTGAAAGACCTTTACAATTAAAACTACAAAACACTGCTCAAAGAAATCAAAGATGACACAAACAAATGGAAAAATATTCCAAATATTCTCTTGGATTGGAAGAATCAGCATTGTTAAGATGTCCATCCTACAAAGAAATCTACAGATTTAATGCAATACCCATTAAATTGCCAGCAGCATTCTTCTCAGACCTGGAAATGACAATACAGGAATTCATATGGAAACATAAACAACTATGAATTGCCAAAACAATCCTCTCAAAAAAAAGCAGAGCAGGAGGTATCACACTCCCAGACTTTAAATTCTATTATAAAGCTACAATAATCAAAACAGCCTGGTATTGGTACAGAAACAGGCATATAGACCAATGGAATAGGATAGAGATTCCAGAAGCAAAACCTCAATTTCTAAACCAACTCATCTTCAACAAAGCCTCTACCACCAACCACTGGGAGAAGAGAACCTATTCAGTAAATGGTGCTGGGAAAACTGGCTAACCACCTGCAGAAGATTAAAGCATGACCCCTACCTATTACCATACACAAAAATCAACTCTAAATGGATCAAAGACCTAAACGTAAAACCTCAAACTATAAGAACCTTAGAAAATGCAGGAGACACTCTTATGGAAATTGGAAGTGGCAACCAATTCCTGATCAAAATTCCAAGTGCCCATGCCATAAGAGATAAGATAGACAAATGGGACCTCATCAAACTGACAAGCTTCTGCAAAGCCAAAGAAACTATCAAGAGAGCAGGGAGACAGCCCACAGACTGGGAAAAAACATTTGCCAACTCTATATCTGACAAAGGCCTAAAATCTAGGATCTACAAGGAACTCAAACGTGCTGAAAAGAAAAAAACAAACAGCCCCATTACAAAGTGGGCAAAAAATATGAATAGACAGCTCTCCAAAGAAGACTTACAAGCAGCCAACAGATACATGAAAAAATGCTCGGCCTCACTAGTCATCAGAGAAGTGCAAATTAAAATGACACTGAGATATCATCTAACTCCAGTCAGGATGCCTATCATCAATAACTCAAAAAACAACAGATGCTGGAGAGGATGCATCGAAAAGGGAACACTTATCAATATTGGTGGGAGTGTAAACTAGCACAGCCTCTGTAGAAAACAGTGTGGCGATTCCTAAAAGATCTAAAAATTGACCCTCCATACGACCCTGCAATCCTCCTACTAGGAATATACTCGCAAGAACTCAAATCACTCTACAAAAAGATACCTACACATGTAGGTTTATCACAGCATTGTTCACAACAGCAGGAACATGGAACCAACTATGCTGCCCATCAAAAGAGGACTGGATAAAAAAAATGTGGTACATATACACGATGGAATACTATGCAGTCATAAAGAACAAAATCATGAACTTCACAGCAACCTGGATGGACTTAGAGACCATAATACTGAGTGATCTTTCACAGAAACAAAGAGCTGAGTATCACATGTTCTCACTCATAAGCGGACCATGAACAACTATCGTAATATTATAAGAAAAGGATTGGCAGTAGTAGGAAACTGCCGTGAGGGGAGTGGGGATACAGAATTGGCAGTAGTGGGAATTTCCTACGGAAGGGGAGGGCATACCTCATTAACAAGGGTACCTGCATACTGAACATTTGTATACCTAACTCTGAACTGTACCCCCCATCTTTAAAATAAAAAAAAATTTAACGGAAAAAAACAACAACAAAAAAAACCATAACGGCCTCTAGTTCCATTCATGCTGTTGCAAAAGACATGATTTCATTCTTTTTTTATGGCTGAGTAGTATTCCATGGTATGTATACCATTTTCTTTATCTAATCATTTGCTGATGGACACATAGGTTGATTCCATATTGGGAACAGTGCTGCGATAAACATATGAGTACAGGTATCTTTTCAGTAGTGATTTATTTCCTTTTGGTAGATACCCAGTAGTGTGATTGATGGATCGAATAGTTCTATTTTTGGTTCTTTGAGAAATCGCTCTACTGTTTTCCATAGAGGTTGCTTCTTCTACAATATTCAAAATAGCTGCTCAAGACTTTCATGTAAAACATTTCCAGCAATAATGAGGAATATTCAAAATTCTCAAACAATAATCATATCAATCTATGTAGGTCATTAAGCCACAGTGGAAATCCATGCAATCCAAGCTGGATACACAAGCAAAACCGGGACCCTAAAGCTCATGTATAACCCAACTACTTGGAACTCAAACCATTTCACAAGTTTTAAAGTAGCATCTAATCATTGTCACATACTTCATCATGGTAATTTAATCAACATCTAATGTTCTTGCCTGTTTTTTATTGTCTCCACCAATCTTACTTACATTACTTATAATAAAATAGCTAACATTTTGTATAGTGTTTACTATGAGCCAAGCATCACTTTAAGGAACAGTTAAGTACTCAAAACATGCTTGATATTTTTCTTCAAAACACATCATATCTGACATATGTTATAAATTTGAGTTTTTTAATTCATTATGTCTCTCCCACAAAACTATATTATTTGATTAATTTTTGAAGCCCTAGTCCCATAAACAGTGCCTGGTACACTTCAAAAACTTAATCAACATTTACTAAATTAATTACTCAATTAATTTTTTTAATGGGTCTAAGTTTTCTGAGTTTTCTAGAAACATACACAAAGTAGGAGCAATTTCTGTCTCACAGGTTCTGCAAAATTAAGCAAAACAGATCCTCATGAAAAGGGCAATGAGTCCTTGTATGAGACCAAAGCCCCTCTGCTGTGACGGGGTGAACAATGTCTCAGCAACATCTGCACAGCAGACTCACGACAAGATCACTACAGAGCTGCTATGGGTCCCAATCCAAAGGTTAAGTCTGTGTCCAGGTCACCCTCTGAGACCCCAGGACAATGGGTTATGCACCTTTAGGGGCAAAGATGGACTGCCCATTTTCAGGTAAATTTCCTACATTTTCTGCTGCACTTTTGAGTTACTCAGACAAATACTGAGTGGCAAAGACATCAAAAGTTAACAACTCAAATGCCAAAATATACACTTTAAAAGTAATCAAAGCTGGACCAAAGAAAATACACAAATCAAAACTCAAAGTCAACTGGGGCAGGTGGCTCATGCCTGTAATCCCTAGGGCTTTGGGAGGCCAAGAGAGAAGGACCACTTGAGACCACCCTAAGCAACACAGTGAGACCCCCATCTCTAAAAAAACTTTAAAGGTAGCCAGTGGCTTATAGCTTGGGTCCCAGCCACTCAGGAGACCTAGGCAGGAAGATAGCTTGAGGGCAGAGGAGACCAGCCTGAACAACACAGTAAGACTTTGTCTATGAAAAATGAACTAGGGTGGTAGCATGTACTTGTAGTCCTATCTACTCAGGAACCTGAGGCAGAGGAATGATTGAACCCAACAGATCAAGGTTACAATGGGTTATGATCTGCACCACTGTACTATGGCCTGGGTGACAGAGTAAGATCCAGTCGCTTATTTAAAAGAAAAAAAAAAAGTCGCTTACAGAAAAAAAAAAACACAAAGAAGAAGAAGGCAAAGCCACTACAGCAAAGGGCAAGAATAACATTGTCCCATGATGCTACATGCATAAG